GGACGTACGCGATGCACCACGCCGTGCGGGTACACGATCTGATGTCGACCACCGCAATCACTGGCAACCTCTCCCCGTATGTGAAGTGGTCGGGGACCAAGGGCGACACCTCCATGCTCCGCGTGTGGTGGTGCATGGTTCAGTACCGCCTGCCAACATCAACCAGTAGCAAATTCAGGAGCCGCGCGCGTTGGGGGATCCACCTCGGCATCACCCACAAGTACACGGCGTGGCTCATCCTGGATCTCTTCAGTCAGAAGATTAAAAACGCGCGCGACGTCATCTTCTACGAGCGTTTGTTCCTTCAGCAGTTTTGCGAAGACGAGCAGATGAACACGAACCGCGTTTATGCCAATGACGGGCACAGCTACGCCACGCCAGAAGACGAAGTTGCTGCGGTCATTCTGGAGCAAGACCCCAGAGGCGAATTCACGAGAGGAGATCGTCGCGACGATGACGATGACGATGAGTCATCCGAAGGAGGAGAAGCGGGCGCAGCAGGAGTCGCAACTGGAGGAAGCGGAAGCAGCAGAGGCGCAACACCACCAGCCCCACCTGAGCCGGACAGCGATGGCGACGACGTAAAGGAGGTCGTCCCGCAGCATCGCCACGATAGCACCGTCACCGGAATGCAACTCCTCGGGCTTCACAGCGCCACCTCAACGGCACCGTGTGTCATCGAACCAAGGAATCCACGCCAAGCTCTCTCAGGACCGCATAGCAAGGAGTGGCGTGAAGCAATGGATGCCGAAATCAAGGCCCTCGAGTCCCGAGATACCTAGGTGCTCGTTGACCGAGCCGCAATCAAGGGTGCAAAGATCCTCTCTGCCAAATGGGTCTTCCGCGTGAAGACCTCAGCGGACGGCACGATCGAGCGCTTCAAGGCGCGGTGGGTCGTGCGTGGCTACGATCAGAGGCACGGGATTGACTTCTATCAAACATTTGCGCCCGAAAGCCGTCACACCTTCGTCAAAATTCTCCTCGCCATTGTCGCCGCACAACATCTGCCGCTCCGACATATCGACGTGAAAAACGCGTTCCTATATGCGTTAGTAGATGCAGTGATCTACGTGGAGCAGCCGCACACTTACGGAGAAGGGGACTCACGAGTGTGCCAGCTGCGCAAATCGCTTTACGGGATAAAACAGGCACCAAGGCTTTGGCAGCAGTATCTGCACAACATTCTGCTCGAAATTGGCTTCAAGCAAAAACCCCACAACCCAGGAATGTATCGCCGCGATTTCCCCGAAGATTACATTTTGCTCACCGTCTACGTCGACAATTTGCTGTACACAGGGTCAAGCAACGATCTGCTCGAGCAATTCGAGAAGAATCTGGCAGGGCGCGTCGACATCACCTGCAACTACGAAGTGAAGCAGTTCTTAGGACTCAATATCTCCTACGAGATGACAACTATCCACCTCTCAGCGGCTAAGTATGTAGAGGAGCTTGGGAAACGCTTCAACATCTCCCCTGCACCACTTTCCACCTCTTACCACTCTCCCGGACAGAACCACAAACCTGATAACAAAGCCCTATCCCCTGCTGGCATTCAGACTTATCAGCAACAGCTGGGATGCCTGCTCTTTGCCTCTGTCACCTGCAGGCTAGACCTTTCCTACATTGTGAGCCAGCTGGCTCAGTACTCTCGCAAACCAACAGCTGAGAACCTTTTGGATCTGCAGCACACTCTAGAGTTCTTTGTCTCAACGCCCAAGATTGGGCTCTGCTACTCGACCGTACCGGCCCCATCCTTCAACCTCATCTGCTACGTGGACGCTGATCACGTCCAGGACAATCGACGGTCCAGGACTGGCTTTCTATTCCGCCTCGAGCCGACGGGACCAATCTCACGGAATTCGCAGAAACAGGAGCTGGCCGCCCTGTCATCGGTGGAAGCAGAATTCATTGCAGCAACAGCAGCACTTCGCGAAGGCCTCTACTTACAGGAACTCCTACAGGAGGCAAAAATCCCAGTTTCGCGTACCTTCCGTCTGCACTGCGACAACCAGAGTGCGATCCGCATTGCGAATAAACCTGGTTTCGTCAACCGCACCAAGCACATTGCACTGCGGTATTTCTTCGTCAAGGACGAAGTGGACAAGGGCAAGGTCAACTTGACGTACTGCCCAACAGGTGACATGGCAGCTGACTTCCTGACGAAGCAACTACCACGCCAACAGTACCAACACCGCTCTGAGCTTAGTGGAGTGGTCAAGCTGGTCAAGACGAGCTACAGCCAGCAGTGACGAGCGACAGCTGAAGCTGCTAGCACACGGCGCAACTGGAGCAACTGGCACACGGGCAACTGGAGCAACTGGCACACTGGCAACTGGAGCAACTGGCACACGTGCAACTGGAGTAACTGGCTTCACTGCTAGACGAGCGGTAGGAGCAACTGACTCACGGGCGACAGGAGCAACGGGCTCACGGGCGACTGGAGCAATGGGCTCACGGGCGACTAGCGCAACGGTCTCACGGCGACTGGAGCTGCTGGCTTCACGGCGGCCACCCCCTTTCGACCTCCCCCATCAGCCCAAAATCCCCGTTCACACACCCCTTGCTGCACCCCTAGCTCCACTCCCATGTCACCCCCCTAGCACCACTCCCTCGGCTCCCATACACCCACCCCCCTCAGCGGCAGCTACAGCAGTGGGAGACGGAGGAGGAGCAGGAGCAGGGGACGGCTCACACACCCGCCACCCCCATAACCGCCACCCCCAAACCCTAACATAGGCAGCATGGGGCGGGAGCGGGTGCACGCACGGCAGGGCAGGTGCGCGCGGGCCTGGCGCAGGCTGAACGGGCCGCGCATGGGCCTGGCGCAGGCCGTACGGGCCGCGTGCGGGCCTGGGGCGGGTCGTACGGGCCGCGCGCAGGCTGTACGGGCCGCGCGAGGGTCCCAGGGGCGCTTCGACGGGTGACGGGGGGGCGACGCGCAGGTCCCCGGGGGCGCTTCGACGGACGACGGGGGGCGACGCGCTGGTCGACGGGGCAGGAAACCGCCGCGCGCCTCGGGGCGCACGGCGGGCAGAAAACCGCCGCGCGCCCCGAGCGCGTGGCGGGCAGAAAACCGCCATGCGCCCCGAGCGCGTGGCAAGAAGAAAAAACGTCGCGCGCCATGGGGCGCGCTGTTATAGTCACAATAGGCTTCAATGTGCCTAAAACGAAAGATAGAGTGCACAGTCGGATTTTTGCACAGCGGCTTTAAACGTTCATAGCGTTCTCGTCACAGCTTAAAATGACCTGATTCAACTTGAATCTAGAGCGTCTTAACGAGCCTACAATAGGTAATTTAGATCGCACGATTTGGCCAAGTATTGACGACACAGCGTCGGTTTGAACGAACGGCACTATGGCAGCCACTGTAGTCTTAGCACACATAGTAGGAAGAGTTAGCAAGAGTTACGAGTTGGGAATGACTACCAGCTCCTACAAACCCCAAGAGCCGAGGTACAGTGATGTGGAATAGTGCCATATTGTCCCCAATCAAGAAGGGTCTCGAAACTACCCTTCACAAGGGCCTACACCAACTGAAATGTTACACTTTACAAAGTAATGTAACTATCTTCAATATCTTGAGGTGCACCCTTTTGGCGAGCTTCGAAATCACTTAAAGCTTGCAACCAAGGCTCGGGTTCTTCATCACAAACTCATCCTCGAGTTTTTGATGGGTCTGCTGCACACACCTGCAACACGCCAAATGTTCGACAAGCGACAAAATAGAAACCGCGCACGACAAAATAGAAACCGCGCGGGACACACAAAATGACAGCGTTACACGCGACTAGCGATAACTCGCCATTGACTTGACACACACACACTCGACATCATGACCCATCATACACACACTATTAATAGCATGAAATATATATTATCCCATGCCCTCATACCATTCCATGCACACACGCATGCACGCACACGGACAACAAGCCGAGTGCAAACCGTAGGGTTGCACCAACACGCGCGACAGACAACGGAAGCTAACGGTGGGCCCACAGGCCAGGAGCGTAACCGCCCTGATAGCATGTCAGAATAGTGAGCAGAAAGTTAGAACAGGAAAGAGGGGTTGCACTAGTAAGTAGGGTAGTACATATAGCAAACCCTAATTGGGTTGTACTCACTATAGAGTACCTTACTGCAGACTCGACATATGATACATTCTGACATTTACGCCTCTCATTGCAGAGGTCTAGGGCTGTCTGGGTGGGAGCTTTGGACAGTGGCTCAAAGCCCCAGTTCCACATGGCTGTTTTCAAATTCAAGATTCTTGATAATGAACTAGCCAGGTTACTACCTGAAATAATGCATTCCGTCGCTTCACAGAGGAGAGTTTTCACAAGTCTGATGCATGATTGGCTAGCGACAAAATAAGTCTTCCGGGTGTTCGTGTCAGAGGGAGATGGTGCAGTGTTGACATTCAGTTAAAGCTCGCGTCTCATATTTCTCCTATCCAACCAAGTGTTAAACGGTTGGAATTTGGTAACAGCAAAGTTTGTCGCAAAGCACACCAAAGCAAGGGGTGGTTTGGGAAAGTTGGCTGTCGCACACTTATCGTACACACCAACCGTTTACAACTTCCAAAAATATGAGACTCTGAAACTCAACGTTGACAGAAGGGGGGACCGAACCTGTCCCCCTTGGCTCGTTTTCCACCCAAACCAGCCCACCCTGGTTTGTTTTGGCCTCGACTGTTTTGGTAGTTCGCTGTGAGTTTTTCGCCCGCTCGTCAAATATATCGCTTTCGTTACCCAATCACAGTCGGGCAAACCCAACCAAGTATTAAACGGTTGGAAATATGAGACGCGAGTTTTAACTTGAAAACCAAGTTGTACTAATGGGCAGCCTTTTTCAGGCAATACCCGTAGTCTACTCCGCTATTCAGGACCACAAGTGCGTGAGCTCTCAATTTCACAATGGCAGCGATCTGTCTGTATCTTTGCAGCAGCCTTTGTTCTCCAGCAAAACAAAAAATATTGGCTGGCGTAAAGAAAAACGTCATGCGCCACGCCCATTTCTATAGGGGCGATGGCGCTTACATGTACGTTCGAAGCGCAAGGAACGGGCGATGAGCAGCTCTTCAAGATGCTTGCCAGCTTCTCGACGCACCCGCTTCCGCCCATCGCACTCCTTTCCGCGTAAACGCACTCCCTTCTGCCCGTCGCACTCCTTTACGCCCATCGCCCACCCTCCCGCCGTCGCCCTACCTTATGCCCGTCGCCCTCCCTAGCGCTCGTCGCACTCCCTAGCGCTCGTCGCACTCCCTTCCGCCGTCGCCCTCCCTTCCGTCCGTCACCCTCCATTCCGTCGTCGCCCTCCCTTCCGCCCGTCGCCCGTCCCCATGCCTTCCGCCCGTCGCTCTCCCTTCCGCCCGTCGCCCTCCCTTCCGCCCGTCACCCTCCCTTCGTCTCGTTGCCCTCCCTTCCTCCCATTGCCCTCCCAACCACCCGCCGCCCTACCTTCCCCTCGTCGCGCTCCCTTCCGCTTGTTGCCCCCCTTTGTCTCATCGCGCTCCCTGCTGCTCATCGCCCTCCCTCCCGCTCGTCCCCTCGCCCTCCCCGTATCTCGCTCCCCTCATCGCCCTTGCATCCTCGCCCTGCTTTCCTGTGTCCCTGTGTCCCTTTCCCTGCTTCCTCGTGTTCCCTTCCCTGCTTCCCCGTGTCCCCTTCCCTACTTCCCCGTGTCCCCTGCTTCCCCCCATCCCCTTCCCTGCGTCCCCCCATCCCCTGCTTCCGCGTGTCCCCTTCCTTGCTTCCCCCCATCCCCTTCCCTGCTTCCCCGTGTCCCCTTCTCTGTTTCCCCGTGTCCCCTTCCCTGCTTCCCAGTGTCCCCTTCCCTGCTTCCCCGTGTCCCCTTCACTGCTTCCCCCCATCCCCTTCCCTACGTCCCCCCATCCCCTTCCCTGCTTCCCCGTGTCCCCTTCCCTGCTTCCCTGTGTCCCTTTCCCTACTTCCCCGTGTCCCCTTCCCTGCTTCCCCCCATCGGAGTCCCTGCTTCAATTCCCTGCTTTCCCCCATCCACTTCCCTGCTTCCCTTCATCCCCTTCCCCGCTCCCCCCCATCCACTTCCCTGTTTCCCCCCATCCCCTTCCCTGCTTCCGCCCATCCCAATCCTTGCTTTCGCCCATCCCAATCCCTTCTTCCCCCCATCCCCTTCCCAGCTTCCTCCCATCCTCTTCCCTGCTTCCCCCCCATCCCCTTCCCTCCCTCCCCCCTTTCTGCTTCCTTTATCCTCGCCCACCTCACCGCCTGCCCAAGTATCGCCTGCCCACCTTACCACCTCAAATCATTTCTTTCTCATCCGCGTGCAGGTGTGGCGGAAGGTGCACGTCGCGCGGAGCGTATTGGAGGAGTGGTTTGATGTGATAATCACTGAGAACGCCATTCTTTGGCATGTCAACCCCCGCCAAGCTTAGGGGAGTGCCAACTCACGCACCGTCGTCGCTAAAGGCGATCTCTACACAACCTGCAGCAACACGCGCATGCTCAAGTGATTTGACGACTGAAGGAGTCGGGGTTATCTGGCCGTAGGGATCGACTTGTGGATCGTGCTATGTTATGCGCTGGAGGTTTATAGGTACAAGGGTCTAGTTGTGATGATAGTGGTATAAGGGGTGTATTGTGTATGCCCATATCTCGGTGTTGACCCGACCTCTTCTTCCTGATGCAACATATGAATACCGGCCCTATTGCGGTTGCTACTGTCGTTTCTGATTATGCAATTGGCAGTCTTGTGAGTGCAGCACTTCTCACGAATACCACAATAAGAGATGAAGTGAGCGCAATGAATGTACAGAGGTGTGTAACAGCATGAGGTGACCATTGAGGGCCCACAGAGATTGCAGGTCGTGGATGAATGGAGTGGGGAGAACACCGCTCACGTTGCCACTGCCATGTATGTGCATGACGCCGCACAGAACAGGCACGCTTACTGCCATATCAGCATGCATGATGTACGACACTGTTGAGTAGGTGACGCAGGCCATCCGCATGTAGGCCAGCAGCCGCTGAGCCCGGTTGCAATAGTCGGTTGCCGTCTCGTGCTCGCTCATCCTCAGGTGCGTCATCTGCTCCTCCAGGTGGCCGATGTACAGGTCCTCGGTAGCCTGGTACGTCGGCGTGATGAACTGCCACGCCCGGTGGTTGGTGTCCAGGTGACCTCGGTACAACTTCAGGGCGATCTGCACCATAGGCGAGCAGCACCGCGAGATCACCATGAAGGTCAGCAGGTGCACGGCGCAAAACTCCGCATGCAGCTCGGCGTTGGACTCCGGCAGCGTCTCCACATTGCCGTCGACGAAGCACATCAGCCCGGCCATCTCCGGCTGGGGCTCGATGGATTCCTTCCACGTGATGAGGTTGTGACGACCGACCAGTGCAACGGTGACGGCGGCCTTATCCGGCGAGAACTTGAAGTAGCAATAGGTTGGTGCAATTCCGCCTGCCGTCACGTGGGTTGTCGACGCTGGCGTCGCGCTGCTTTATTGGGGAGGGGGACGTCGTCCACCGACGTCGCCATGCGAGCTGCCCGCGGCCGCCGACCGCTGCACTCGCGCCTGATTCCCACCGACTCCGACGTTGCTGGTCCTAATCATTCCGACTTGCCGCGTGCCCACACTGCCGCCGACTTGAGCACCGCCGTCGACCTCTTCGTCGACGCCGTCTCCATTCTGCACTGGTCGAGGAGATGCAGATCGGGAGGGGTGTTCCGCCACCCACTTGGCGTGGATGCCTAGCTCGACGACCTCCAAGGGGAGCACCGTCCTGAATTCGCCAGCCTCGTGGCGTCTCCTCGCATCAGCTAACCGAGTCTCCAACGTGTCCGCTCCACCCGCCTCAACAACGGGGCCGACCATGGTGACTACAATGGCTGCCTGTCGACTCACAAACTAGGCAGTGTGTACATAACTCGGCTAATCCTGAAGGTAAGTTTGCAAGGCCGTCCACGCTCACCGCACCATGCGGAGATGACTCGTACAACGAGAGCTTGACTATAGGGTAGGCACAGTTGTGGGAGTGATCTCTGCGTTCCTAAGTCGTTTGCTCGTGTTTTCTCTATGCGCACATTAACAGGGAAAATTGGCAAGACTTCCACTAGCAAAAGTTGACAAGAATGGCAACAATGGCAAAGCAATACTAACTATATCAGGAGCTAGCATGCAAGCAGGTCGACTGCCACCGCAGCACGGTCGACCGCGTTCCATCACGACAAGGTCGACCTCACTCCTGCAGTACAAAGTGGCGGTCTACCAACACAGCAAGTCGACGGCGTGCCAGCGTTGCAACAAGGCGGCTGCACAGCGCTGCACCCGCATGACAGCAATGCACCCGCTTTGCAGATGCTCGCAGCTGGTTGGCGTGCTGAGCCCTGACATGTGCACAGCACAGCTTCCAACTGGCCACGTGCCTACGCCTGCACCTGATCCGCCACGTGGACCTCAGAATACCACCTCTGAGATTGGCTTCGCCAACACCACCTGAGCGACGATTGTGCACCTCTGCAGGTCCCCGTCGCCCGGGTAACCTGGTCGACCGGGCAACCACCAAGTCGGCGTCGACTTGTGTGGCCGGTGTCGACGAGCTGTTGTACGTGCGCGTCGACCACCCAGGTCGACGTCCTCTAGCCGACTTCACAACGCATGCGTCCTTCCAAGTCGGCGTCACAAAGTCGGTGCCTCCTAGGTCGACCTCGCCAAGCCGACCACCTGAACTCGGCGCCCTCCAAATCGGTGCCACTCTCAGGTCGACGATGGCGCCTTCCAACATCGGTGTCCCTTCCCTCGTCGACCACCGGATCGAAGTCGGCCGCCGGCGTCCCAACGTTGGCAGTGTCGTAGTGGCCCCGGGTAGGTCGACCAAACCCGTCGACCAGCTCGCCCAAGTCGGCGTTGCCCACTGCTGTAGGTCGGCTGGACCTCCCGCACACCCGACCAAGAAGTCGGCTCCGCCCAAGTGAGGACAGGGCCATTTCCCAACTCCCGTTAGCAAGGGTGGTGCTCACAAACAGACGCCTCCAGCTCCTAACCGGCATTCAGGCCCTCAGCGCTCGTTAACCACTCCATTCACGGTCAAAACAAGCGTTGGAACGAGGTGACGAGAGGACGGAATCAAGCTGCTAGCTGGATCGACAAGATAACGCAGCTCTGATACCTTGTAGAATTTCACTACTATATCAACTTGATAGAGGTTGAAAGCACGAATCCAATGCACCAAAGTTTGCAGGAAACGGTTCACTATAGCCAGAGATAAACACAAACATAGCAGCGATAATGACTTCATTAATTTCTGGTTTGTGCTCTCTGGTTTTATACTAGGATGCAATACAAAAACAAAGCACACAAGAAAGTGTCGACCCGGGTCGCGCGCCGAATTTCGTCGACGCGAAATTCCGAGCCTTGAATTTTGTTGGGCGAATTCCATTGAATAAAATTCCGTAGACAAGAATTTCCGTGACCAGGTTTGCGTCGACCACTGACTAACTCCTTTGCGAATTGTGTTGACTTCGACACTTTGCCGCCGAGCTTTAAACCAAATGCGACCCGAGACTGATTCCGCCTGACTGACCCCAAACTATCCCCAAACTGTCCCCAATCTATCCTGAAAGGATACTTTTGGGACACTTAAATCGAAAAGTCTCCAGTTCGAAACTCACACTAGCGCCTTGCAGAAACTTTCATGAATCTGTTCTTAAGACACTTTCAAGACAGATTGAAGGTCACGAGTTTGAATCCGAGCGCCGGCATTTTGTTGTTCATTGCATCGTTTCCTTCTAACACCTAGATCTGGCAGTGTAGAGGCTACTAGTCTAGGTGCTTGAGAGCTTGCTAGCACATGTGTAGCTCCCGCGGAGGCTTTGCACGCCTTCATGCTGGACTGTGGCGCGTCTCGGTGCTTCTTCTGCGTCTGCATCACATTCACACCACTCTCGGCACCTGTCCCGATCATCCTGGCCGATCCTTCCTCTAGCCTAGTCATTGCACGCGGCTCCACTGTTCTCCCATGTCCAGTAGCCCCTCTGGCTCTCTCACAGGTCTCCACCTCCCCTCGTTGGTGAGTGCCGCTCACCTTCATAATCTGATGTTCACCACCACCACTCCTCGAGGCAAGCGCGTGGCGATTTGTACTAACTCTGAGGATGGAGACCACCTTGCCACGTTCGCACGGAGGCCTGGGTCTGGAATGTACACACTGTACACTGAGTCTGCTTATGTGGCTGCGTCATGTCAGGTCGCTGTGTCTTGCTCATGTCGGTTACTCACGCACCCGTCCCTCCTCCGGCTAAACCATCTCGGTCACCCCTTCTTGCAGTGCCTACGTTAGTTGCACTTGCGTCTCCTTGTCCCTCCTCCTTTCCTCTGACTACTGCCCCTCTGCAGACGCTCCACATGGATGTGTGGGGCCCTACCCAAGTCAGTGGGCCACGTCGGGAGCGCTACTTTCTGCTGGTCATCGACGAATTCATACGCTACCCCACGGTGTTTCCCTTTAGAGAATAAAGGAGACGTCCGTGATATTTGGATCCCTTGGATCTACGCTGTTCGTCGCCAACTAAGCGCACGGTTCCGCTAGGACCTCCCAGTGCTCCGTCTGCACTATGACCGTGGTGGTTATTTTGCCTTTGGTCTCCTTGAGGACTTTTGTCGTGAGAAGGGCATCGCCCTGTCGTTCATGCTTCTGGCCTCTCCACAGCATAATGGGATCGCTGAGCGCCGCATTGGCTTGATCATGGAGGTTGCTCGCACCTCCGTGATCCATACGGCTGGTCCCTATTTTCTATAGTCGTTTGCAGTACGATACGTCACGCATCAGCAACCTCTGGCAAGTGTCTCCTCGCCTACCCTCCTTTGGATGGGGGAGGTTGGAGATGCGTTGTTGTTTCGGGTCCAGGGTTCGCTTGCCCTTGTCCGCGACCCTCCGCGGGCAAGCTCTCTCCTCGCACTATTCGCTACGTCTTCCTTGACTTTCCTGTCGACACACCTGACTAGCAGTTTTACCACCCAGCTAGTCACCGCGTCGTGTCCTCCCATGATGTCAACTTTGAGGAATTGGTCTGCTACTACCATCTCTACCCCCAGTGTAGTTCCCCAGTCCCCTCGCTGCCCCTCTTCCTGGTCCCAGGTTACCCTTCAGTAGATCCCCTTCCCCCTCCACATCCTGCACCCTTAGATGAGTCTTAGGTCACCCCACCACCCTTGGTTGAGCCTTTTGAGGTCTCCTTAGACCCCTGTAGCCTAGCTGAACGAGGTGTACCTGGTGCTAGTACCTGGTGCTAGTACTGGAGGACATTGCTGCTGATGTAGCCTAGTGGGGGTGCAGCACAGCTGCTGTAGCGGCGGCCGTTGTTCTGGGAGTAGCAGTGGTCCTCGTTGCCACCACTTGGCTTGGCACTTCACCAGATTCTCAGTCTTCAGCCTGC